ACTCCAGTATTCTTGCCTGGATAATTCCATGGACAGAGGAGCCTGGCAAGATACTACAGTCCATGGGGTCGCAAAGAATTTACACACAATGGAATACTATTAAGTAATAAAATGTAATGAACTATTGATATAGTTACAACATGGATAAACTTTGAGATCATTAAGCTAAGTGAGAAAAAGTTCATAAAAGACCACATAATGTGTACTTCCATATATACCATGTGTATGAAATGTCCAGAGAAGGCAAATCTATAGTGACAGAAGTCTGATTTGTAATTGACTATGGCTAGGGGGTCGGAGAAGGCAATGGCACCCCACTCCAGTACTCTTGCCTGGAAAATCCCATGGACGGAGGAGCCTGGTAGGCTGTAGTTCATAGGGTCACTAAGAGTAGAACATGACTGAGCGACTTCACTTTCATTTTTCACTTTCATGCATTGGAGAAGGAAATGGCAATCCACTTCAGTGTTCTTGCCTGGAGAACCCCAGGGACGGGGGAGCCTGGTGGGCTGCCGTCTATGGGGTCGCACAGAGTCGGATACGACTGAAGTGACTTAGCAGCAGCAGGGGGTGGTAAGTGGCTAAAGAGTATGGGGACTTTTTTTCAGAGTGATAAAAATGCTTTAAAATTGACAGCAGTAATGCTTGTACAACTCCATGAATATATTAAAAACCATTGAGGGACTTCCTTGATGGTCTAGTGGTTAAGAATCTTGCAATGCAGGGTCACAGGTTTGATCCCTGATCAGGGAACTAAGATCCCACATGCTGTGGAGCAACTAAGCCCGCGCCACGCCTAGAGTCTGTGTACCATGATAGAAGGTCCTGTGTGCTGCACCTAAGACTCGACACAGCCAAATGCATTTTTTTTACTTAAAAAAAAATTTGAACTGTATACTTTACATGAGTGAATTGTGTGGTATGTAAATTACATCTCAATAAAACTGTTACCTACCCTCTCACTCCACCCAATGTACAAAATCTAGCTTACTGGACTATACAAAAACAGGCAGCAGGCTCCTTTCCTGGGGGAATTGAACAACCTGAATTGAACCAGGGCCCACACAATCTCATTTCACCTGACAGCTGCTCACACCCAACCGCAGGGCTCCCACCTACAGAGCCCTTTCATTCCAGTGGTGGGAGAGAGGTTCAGCTGTGGACTTCCTAAGAGAACTAACCTAAATGTACCATACTTGTCTCCAAAACAGGTCCACTTCACAAACCATTGTTACCATCACTTTGATTTTCACTGCCACCACTATGGTCCATCATCTCAGCCCCTATGCAGCCAGCATCATAGCTGCATTCTAGCTATTAGCGTAGCCAGTATCCTGGCCATTGCTGCCAGTAGGAGCTCCCATTTATTGGGTACCTCGTATGTTGTCCCTAATCCTCATTGCAAACCTGCATACCAAGAAGATTCTGGACTTTATCCTGAGTGCTGTGGGAAGCTACTGGATGGTTTTCAACAGTATAATAATAAGGTGATATTTGCATGTTAAATGGCCATTTACTCTGGCCAAAGCCTGAAGAATAGATGAAAGACTGGATGTTAGACCAGGTAGCAGGCTGTTGTAGTAATTCCAGGTGAGAAAGGATAGTGACTGTGAGGATGAAGAGAACTGGTAGGATTGAGAGATTCTTAGGAGAGAGAATTTCTAGAATGTAATTGCAGGTTAGATAAGAGGGATAAGACAGAGGCTAGAGTCAAGATTCCCTGAGCACAGGTAAGCTCAGCAATCAAGGGTAGGCATTTCCCATTAACTGTCAAAGTCTTTGAGTCTCAACGACCCTGAGGCTCCCAAGACCAGTTAAGTCTCTACCAACAGGGTTCCCAAAGAGCTGGACATGACTTAGCAACTGAACAACACAACAACAAAGATATTACAAACATGTTAGCCTATGTCTTACTAGGCTCTTAAGGTATGTCTTTTTTCTGTTTTATCTTTAACTAGGGAATTGACATTTTACATAAGAAGGATGTCTTAGGCTAAGGATTGACCCCAATATAGCTGCTATATGGGGCAAAGAACTTTCCTCAAGGCCTCAAAGGTCACATCTCTCAGGTTTTAACATAGGTGGTTGCTTCCGTGTGAGACCCTGCTGGGTATCTTGCCAGGGGTCAGTTCAGTTCAGTTGCTCAGTCATGTCTGACTCTTTGCGACCCCATGGACTGCAGCATGCCAGGTTTCCCCATCCATCACCAACTCTCAGAGCTTGCTCAAACTCATGTCCATTGAGTTGGTGATGCCATCCAGCTATCTCATCCTCTGTTGTTCCCTTCTCCTCTGGCCTTCAATCTTTCCCAGCATCAGGGGCTTTTCAAATGAGTCAGTTTTTCACATCAGGTGGCCAAAGTATAGGAGCTTCAGCTTTAGCATCAGTCCTTCCAATGAATATTCAGGACTGATTTCTTTTAGGATTGACTGGTTCGATCTCCTTTCAGTCCAAGGGACTCTCAAGAGTCTTCTCCAACTTCACAGTTCAAAATCAATTCCTTGGTGCTCAGCTTTCTTTATGGTCCAACTCTCACATCCATACATGAATACTGGAAAAACCATAACTGACTATACAGACCTTTGTCAGTAATGTCTCTGCTTTTTAATATGCTGTCTCGGTTTGTCACACCTTTTCTCCCAAGGAGCAAGCATCTTTTAATTTCATGGTTGCAGTCACCATCTGCAGTGATTTTGGAGCCCAAGAAAATAAAGTATGTCACTGTTTCCATTGTTTCCCCATCTATTTGCCATGAAGTGATCGGACCAGATGCCATGATTTTAGTTTTTTGAATGTTGAGTTTTAAGCCAGCTTTTTCATTCTCCTCTTTCATCAAGAAGCTCTTTAGTTCCTCTTCACTTTCTGCCATAAAGGTGGTGTCATCTGTATATTTGAGTTTATAGATATTTTTCCTTGCAATCTTTATTCCAGCTTGTGCTTCACCTAGTCTGGCATTTTGCATGGTGCACTCTGCATATAAGTTAAATAAGCAAGTTGACAATATAACAGCCTTGATATACTCCTTTCTCAATTTAGAACCAGTCCATTGTTCCATGTCTGGTTTTAACTGCTGCTTCTTGACCTGCATACAGATTTCTCAGGAGGCAAGTAAGGTGGTCTTGTATTTCCATCTCTTGAAGAATTTTTCACAGTTTGTTGTGATCCACACAGTCAAAGGCTTTAGCCAAGTCAATGAAACAGAAGTAGATGTTTTTCTAAAGTCTTTGTTTTTTCTATGATCCAGTGAATGTTGACAATTTGATCTCTGGTCCCCCTGCCTTTTCTAAATCTAGCTTGAACATCTGAAGTGCTCAGTTCATGTACTGTTGAAGCCTAGCTTAGAGAATTTTGAGCACTACTTTGCTAGCGTGTGAGATGAGTGCAACTGTGTGGTAGTCTGAACATTCTTTGGCATTGCCTTTCTTTGGGATTGGAATGAAAACTACCTTTTCCAATCCTGTGGTCACTGGTGAGTTTTCCAAATTTGCTGGCATAGTGAGTGCAACCCTTTAACAGCACCATTTTTTAGGATTTGAAATAGCTCAATGGGAATTCCATCAACTCCACTAGCTTTGTTTGTACTGATGCTTCCTAAGGCCCACTTGACTTTGCACTCCAGGATGTCTGGCTCTAGGTGAGTGATCACACCATCATGGTTATCTGGATCATTAAGATGTTTTTTGTACAGTTCTTCTGTTTATTCTTGCCAGGGTAGGTGTTCATATTCACCAGCTTCCTCTATATAAGCCCTGTCCACCTTGATTTTGGAGATTCAGGAAAGGGAAGTAAGAGATACCTTCAAAGGCAGGTTAGGGGGTGAGGTCTCCCAGAGGGCAGCTAGAATTGCTACATTCTCTGCATGGCTCCTGTCCCTGTCTAAATGGCAAATTGCTACTAGAACAGCCCTGTCTATAACAAAGAGACCAGTGAAAATGTGTTAAGAGAGTGGTGTCACAGAGAAAACCTGATTAAAAGGACTATTTCAAAGGATTATTAGTAGAAAAAGAATTTCTGGCTCCCCAGGGTAAAGCTGCTTTGAGTCAAGCTGTTTCAACACTTCTAACTTGCCCCTCCAAAGGTCAGCTGGAGTGAGCCACACAGCAGAGAAAAGACTCCCAATGCCAGGGACACAGATGGTCCACACCAGCTCATCCCCAACTGGTTGGACCCTCCTGACCCACCCCAGGGGAGAGCTGAAGGGTCTGCCCATCCCCGGGGACCTGCAATGCAGCACTAGAAGTTCTAAGACTTGCCCCACACTCTGGGGTATAATGTGCCATCTGGAGAACATTTAGCTTCTTCCAAAGTAGACCTCTCCTGATGCTGAGAGAGCTGAAGTCTGTCCTTGCACTGAAACCTAAGAGCACCTTCCCAGTCCCACCTCTTTTAAAAGGTGCTAGTCCTAAGGCTGTGTGGTGACCTGCTCTTTCCCAGGGATCCAGGGAAGAGGTGGTTTAGGCCATCCCCAGTCTGACCATTCTTTCTGCAGAGGCCTAGACTCACGCTGACTCCTTCCCTGGGGAGAAGCTCTCCACAGCCAGAACTGAACCAGGGTCTATACAGTCTCACTGCACCTCACATCTTATCATATCACATCCAACCCCAGGGCTCTCACATATAGAGTCCTTTTTTCCAACGCAGGTAAAGAAGCTCCTCTCTGGACTTCCTGAGAGACTTAACCTGAATGGACCACTTTTGTCCCCCAAACAGAGGTTCCCTTCTCAAATCATTGTTACCATTGCTTTGATGATCATTGCCACCATTCCAGCCCAGCATTTCAGCCCCTATGCCAGCCAGCATCCTAGCTGCATTCTACCTACTAGCATAGACAGTATCCTAGCCACGGATGCCAGTTGTTTTTGTTGTTTAGTTACTCAGTTGTGTCTGACTCTTTTGTGATGTCATGGATTGTAGCCTGCCAGTCTCTTCTGTCCATGGGATTGCCAAGGCAAGAATACTGGAGTGCGTTGCCATTTCTTATCCCAGGGGATCTTCCTGACCCAAGGATCAAACTCATGTCTCCTGCATTGGCAAGTGGATTCTTTACCACTGAGCCATGAAGGAAGCCCTTTGCTGCCAGTAGCAGCTCCCATTTGTTGAACACCTGCTACACTGTCTTTAATACTCACTGTGAACTTAGAAGTTCACTGAAGAGGAAACTGTGGCTTCAAGAGGTTGAGTCATAGCACAGAGAAGAAGCACTGCTGGACTTTCAATCTAGTCTGGATGATTCCCCCAACAGGTACTGTTCCCACTGCCCCATGCTGCCTCACTATGGTGGGCCAAGCTCTGGATGCACAGTGAGAAGGAAAACACACACATGTGCCAGCTATGTGATTTTGGACTGGTCACTTACCCTCTTGGTGCTTTAGTTTCATCTCCGCAGTGACAGTTTTGTATGGGGGCATAGATACGAACAGTGTTTGTGAGTGTCTGTGGGTAGAAAAGGAGCTGGTTATGTGTGTCTATGGCTATGTACTGGGATCAGGTGAGGTGAGGTTGAGGTCATTGTTTCTGCTCTTTAAGCCCAGGGAGGCCAAGTAAGTACTAGAACTGCCATGGGGACCTAGTCGGTCATGACCAGGCTGGAGGGTGCCTGTTCACCCCCCTGCTGCTTCTCAAGGATGCTACACCCTGTGGTCAGGAAGAGGGGTTCCAGGAGTGCCACTGGAATGTGCCATCTGCTGGGAGTCCTTGGAGAGTTGATGGATGATAAGGTGACAATAGCAGCCTGGGCTCCACGGCTCCCTTCTCTCCCTCTGATGAGGTTCCTTCTTCCCTGTAGCCATGGAAAGCTCCCAAGTTCCCCCCGGATGCCTCCTTGGCCCATCTGCCTGCCTTTCATCCTATGCCACCCAGTTTTCCCAACTTCTAATTCTGTTTCTGAGGCCTTGGTGGCTGTGCCCTTGACCAACCATGCAGAAAAGCCACTGGTTACAACACTGCAACTTCAACCCAGCACTCCCCTCTCTGTGCCCCCTACCCCTCCCTGGCTTACCCCAGCAGTCCTGCCTGGCCTGGCAGGGAGGCCAAAGCTCACAGCCTCCGGGTCTCGGCTCTGGAAGATCCAGAGAATACAGTGGCCAGAAAGGAGGACCTGCGGATGCGTACAGGCACTCACCAGCTAAGTTGCCAGGGAAACAGCACGGCATAAGGGCATACAATTTGTAGTCAAACAGACAAGGTTTAGAATTCTGGCTCTGCCTCTTCCAGGCCATGTGACCTTGGGCAAGAGATTTAACCTTTCTGAGCCATGCTTTCCTCATGTGTAAAACAAAGATAATAATAGCTACCTTGCAGGGTGGTTGCAAGGATTAACCAAGATAATATATTCAAAGCACCTAGCTCAGTGCCTGACACATACTTGGCACCCAATAAATGCCAGTTTCTTTTCCCTCCCCAATCCCCCTGCTTGGTCTCTGCCAATACCAATGGGCAAACAAAGTTAGCAGGTCACCTCTCAATTATTTGAGGGTCTGGAGCTCAGCCTCTGCACCTTTCACACTCCACAAGCTGTGGATTACCAAAGGCAGGAAAGAGGAAGGCGAGACAAGGTGGGAAGGAGATGGGTGGGTGTGTGGGTGGCCGAAGAGTGGGTGCAGGGGGAAGTCTCTGCATGAGATGGGAGAGTTTAAGACCTGGAGCTTCTCAAAGTAAGTGCACAAGAAACTCATTAAGAGCAGCTGGCCCCTGGGGAGGGTGGGGGTCGGCTCCAAACTCAGAGCCTGGTTTCTAGTGGGTCCTTCCCACCAGCCTGTCTGGGCTGGAAGCGGGGAACCTGATATTTACATACCTCTGCAGATGTGTCCCAACAGCCTGCCTGCCCTACCACGGAGCAGCAGAAATGATCCACCAAGGCCGAGAGCTCTAAGCTCCCCGCAGAGAGCCTGGATGACCTCAGTGCTTCAGGGCTCCGAACAGAGGGGGTGGGCTGGGGTGTGCATGCGTGTGTCTCTGTGTGTGCGCGCGGCTCCAGCCCCTAGCAGACGAGACTGCAGGCCGGGGTTCACAGGGATGCAACATCTGGCCAGCTGTGAGCCTGAGCCAGATGCACGCCGGCCAGATGTAGGGCAAGCTCCCCTGGGTGGGGGCTGCACAGGAGGGAGTCATAACCTCATTGTGCAGCCTAATCCTGAACATATTACTCTGGAATATGTGCACCATCAACAGTATCGCCATAAAAAAAAAAAAAAAAAGGCCTCAATAAAGAGAGAAGAAGAAAGAACAAGTCCTCAAGAGTCCCAGCGGCCTCTGACACACTTTCTGGGGGAGGGGACAAGTGCAGAAAGAGTCTGGACCGCACTTACTCCTGGGCCCCAGCAATGCGGGAGCTGGGGAGGAGTGGAGGGTTGAGCCAGGAGGTGTATCTCCCACCCTGCGGTGAGAGCTACTGAAAGTTCAAGGCCACAAAGAGCCTTTGCAACTGAGGTTTAAGGGTTAATGGATCTGGGGGAAGGGGGCGCCTGAGTCTGGGAAGTGCTGGAAGAAGCGAGCCAGAGAACAGCTCTGGGCCTCTTTCCCTGGCCTTCCTGAAACTAGGTATTCTGGATGCTTCCAGCAGGGAAAGCACTAGAATGAATGTCTACTCCTCCCCTCTCCATGGTCCCCACTCCCATCTGCACTCCACTCCCTCACCCCCCACCCCCCACCCTGAGTGAACCACCCAGACAAGCCACAAAAGACATAAGCCAGGATATCAGGCCGGGCTGCCTGGCCACCTGGGGGCATTGGGCCTGGGCCCAGCCAGCTTGTTCTGGAACAATGACAAGGTGGGGTGGTCACAGCAGGCTTCCTGGAGGATGCAGTGTCTCAAAAGATAAGAGGGATTTGGCTAGATGATGAGATGAGGACAGAACCTGTCCTGTGCAGCTAAGGAGCGCCTCAGGGCCCTGAAAAGCCGAGGTGGAGACGGAAACACGGAGAAAAGAAGAGTGCGAGAGAAAAATCATGTGAGAACCAGGAGGAACTCAGTGCTCCTGTGGCTCTAGCCCTTTACCTGACAACATCGAGAAAAAGAAGGAAAAGGCATAGAGAGTAGGAGTAGGCTGTGAGAGGGGTCTTTAGCCATGGGCTTGCAGGCACTTGGGGAACTTTCACCCTAGGCAATTTTCCTGGCCTGGAAACCCCAAGAGAGACAGAAACATTGGGCAGAGTTGAGGGCAGGTAAGTCTACCTGGACAGTGGTCCAATAGGCTGTTAGGGGAGGTGGTAGCTGGAAGCTGATGAGGAAGAAGACCCAGGGAGGGTGGGAGTCACTCAAGAGCTAGTGAGGGGCCGTCCCGGGTTCTCTCTCTCTACCTCCTACGTCTTTGAGGCAAGCACAACTGCTTCTCATTAGCAAAAGTGACTGTGGAGAAGTCCAGCCCATCCCAGGTCACGGTCACAGCCCTGAGCAGCCAGCTTCAGTCAAGCCAGAGTGGAACAGGCAGGGGCCCAGGGGACCTGCAGCTGCTGTCCAGCCCTGGGGTCCCCAGGCCACCATGTCAGTGCTGTTGTGGGCAGTGATGAGAGGGAAGAATGAAAACAGCTGGAGGAGCAGGGAGAGAGGGGAGTTATGCCAACACCCTCCTTTTGGCCGTCTTGCATGTTTTCTTCCTCCTAATTCATTCATCAACATCATGGCCAAATCTGACCCCACCAATCTCCCACTGAGAAAGTGGCAATGGCTTCCCAATGCCTAAATCAAGACAAACTTCTGAGCCCAGATATTAAAATTCTCAGATTTGGCTCCCCTGGACCCCATCAATCCTCACCCCCATGCTCCTGAACCAAGCTCTCCATGCCGGCTACTCTTCGAAAAGGTCCCCTTGTTGTCTCCTGCCAAGTCCTCTGTATCTTTACTCTCGCAGTTTTCTTAGCAGCAAATGCCTTTTTGTTTGTACCAACTCATTATTATTCTCCTTTTACATTCCACTCATCTGTAAAATTGGGAGAGTAATAATGCCCACCTCACAGGGTTTTTGTAAGGATAAAATTAGAAAGTGCTTGGAACAGAGCCTGGCGCAAAGTAAACGTTTGCTACTTATATTGTTCTATTCGTTCCCCTTCCAGTCCAGACTCCAAGATCAATCTTCTCTACTGAGCACCATCTCCCTGACCTGCCCACCTGTGATTGTTATCGCCCTCCTTGCATTTACCAGCTCAACTCACTTCTGTTCAAAGAATGTGTTGGGCATCCTACTCCATGGTAGGCAGCAGGGAAGAAATGGGGACAAAGATAGTTATTGTCCTCCCCTCAAAGAGTTTTCAGTCTGGAGGGAACCAAATAAGCAAAAGGCTGTTAAAAGAGGCATATATTTGCAAGAGGTGGACTAACTACTCACACAGCACTATGGGAGGCCAGAGGCAAGACCAGCACTGAAGACCAGGGAAGGCTTCTCAGAGGAGGTGACAAATAAATGGGCATCTGTAAGCCGAATAGGAGTTAGCAGGGGAGAGGGAGGAAGAGGTGAGAGGAGGAAGAGGGTGATGAGTTTGGAAAGTGCAGTGAGCTCAGTAGGGTTAAGCATGGACCGTGAGGAGGAACGGTGAAAGCTGAGGCTAGAGAAGTTTGGCAGGAGTGAGATCTGGAAAGGCTGTGTAAGCTGAACTAGGACGCTGGGGCCGAGGCCTGTGGGCAACGGGGAATCATGGGAGGGGCTGTGCTGCTCACTTTGGCCCTTACCATATGTGCCTGCAACCATTTTAACTGTTTCATGTCTGTCAGAATTGTCTCCCAGGAGGTTACAACCTGGCACCTTTGCACACACCTTTTTTGGAATTCTCCAGGCAAGAATACTGGAGTGAGTAGCCATTCCCTTCTCCAGGAGATCTTCCCAACCCAGGGATCGAACCCAGGTCTCCTGCATTGCAGGCAGATTCTTTACCAACTTAGCCACCAAGGAAGAATCAAGAACAAGAAACAAATGTGTGCCTCTCAGCAACTTTCCCGCTCCATTCATGGTGCTCTCCCTGTCCACTTCTCTCCCTCTCTCCAGCTTGTGGGAATCACTGTTGACCTGGAAGCTGCCTAGCTGCCCTTCCCCCAATACATCGTGCAGTACCTGGGGACCTGAAGCAGGTTAGCCAGTTCTGGGCTGTCCCTGTCCTGACTACTTAGTACCACCTCCAGGAAGCCTTCCCTGACTCCCAACTCAAAGTACTCTCTCCCTTCTCTGACTTTTTTTTTTTCCCAATTATTTTTATTAGTTGGAGGCTAATTACTTTACAATATTGTAGTGGTTTTTGCTATACACTGACATGAATCAGCCATGGGTTTACTTCCAGGCAGCACTATTCATGAAGTTCATGACTGAGAATTCCTTCTAAGCGTTATCAGACCTCACCGGCTCCTCCCACCCTCAAGATTCTAAGCTCCTTGAGGGCAGGATCCGGCTGCTGCCTCTCCAGCATCTCCATGGTCCTCAGCATGGGCTTCCCAAAGACGTCAGGTTGCTGGTTCCTGCTCCTTCCTCTCTGAAGCAGAGGAAAAGGATCTGAGGGTCCGGATGGTCCAGAGCTGGGTCCCAGGGATGGAGAAGGGGAGAAAAGTGGCCTCTCCTGATGTACATCCCCTCTGCTTTCACCAGGCGAGGGCCATCAGCAGGGAGCAACAGTCATGTAACTGTCAGATGGAAAAGCTCAAGCAGCTGGGCAGTAAGTGTTGAAATCCCAATCAGCAGGATGTGAAAGTTCCAGAAGACATGGTGATGGGGCAAGGCAGGGTTGGGAAAAGCTGCCCAGCAAGAAATTTAAATGCACTGTGAGCTCAGTGGGGGACCATGGGTCTAAGGCAAGGCCCTCCAGGCAGCTGCCCCCAACCCCTCCCCAGCTTCACAGTCCAGTGGGTATGTCCAGGGAAGCACAGCTGAAAAGTGGGCTGCCATCTGGAGAAGATGACAGGGTCTGGAAGACAGTGTCACCAAAAGGCCTTCTCCCTGAGGCAATCGGGGGCAGGCCTCATCAGCTCTTTGCAATGAGCATCTGGCTGGTTCCAGATGTGGAACCAGATGGAGAAAACGACACCCTGGCACTGCCTGGTAGGGAAGCTCAGGGTCTGTCCTCCACGCTCTGCTGGCAGGGCCTTCTCCAGGTCTTTCCGTCCATGCCCCTGCCTGCACACCTCCTTTGGTCTCATATCGCCCAGGCTGCAAGAGTCTCATGGTTGTCCGAGTGGCTCCTCATGTCTGGCTTTGGTCTGCCCATAATCAGTTTATTCTCTTGTTCTGTGGAGATGAGAACTAGTTGGTCACCGTCCCCCAGTCAAAAACATGGTGTGTGTGTGTGTGTGTGTGCACATGTGTGCGCATGTAAATACATATGTGTGTGCATATTCACATAAAGAATCCTGAGAACACAAGGTCAAGTCAGATCCCTGGCTGTGAAAGGGGCATGGGAGAAGATGTAGCCCATGCCCTTGTTATTCAGGTAAGGAAGCCAAAAAGAAGGGAGGTCTGCCACGTAGGAAGAGGGAGTGGATCTAGTAGATTTAGAGCTCAGGCATCAGCTTCCTAAAGTCTCTCCGCACTGGCACCTCCCCCACCCCACCCGCAATCCACCCCCTAAACAGGTTCAGCTCCAATCGCTGTCTTGATCTGCAGAGTGAAGAGGGCCTGTTTCCTGGAGTTGAGGCTCTCACTGCCAACAACTGCCAGTGTTGATGTGCAAATGTCAGAGGGAGAAGGAGCAATGGAAGGATGAAATGTCCTCTGCCAGGTTGAAACAAGTGGGATTAAAAAGAGCTTGAAAGAAGCCAAGATGGATTTGGGAGAGGGGGCAGATGACAGAAAAGAGCCCTTGGATGAAGCTCAGGGAGTGCAGCCTGAGAGGGGAGGGTTCCCTTGTTCAGCCAAGGGAGAGACCCTCATCTCTTCTGGATGCTTCCCCACTTCTATGCAGACCCCTGGTGGGTCCTGGGACTCCAGAGACAGTGATTGCTATAGACCAGAAAGTGTCTCCTGGAAGTTTCCTGGGACAAGGACCTCAAACATAAGCTTTCCAAAGATGGGGTCATTTTACCTTACAAAGCAGTCTAAGGCCTGACTCCAACTTTGCTCAGGCTCAGCCTCTCAGGCTGCGAACTAGGCAAAGACCACCCAGGATGGGAAAGGAAATTGCATCTTTAGGTAGGAGGCATGGCCACCTCACTCCTGAATCACCCAACGTGAGCTACAGTTTGAGACTAGGGGTCTACCCTGGCTTTCTTGGGAGGGGGCTGCTGTGGAGAGGTAAGGGGCCAGCAAGCAGGAAAAGAATGCAGAGTTTTTCCAAGCATCAATGACTTTCTGAATTTGAAACTTTTTTCCAAAGTTTGCAGAGCACATACTGTACAGTCCCTTCATTAAGGATTAATTACTAGCCAAGTTTGAAGTCTTTGGAGTTGTTTGGGAGTTATTTGAGCTGAAAAAGAAAACATAACTATGTTGTTGTTTCTTCTAAATGGAAAAAGAATTTTTTTTTTGTGGGTGTTTGCAATGCTTACAAACAGCTGAAGGGGTTTTTACTCTATCTTTCCAAAAATCCTTGCTCCAGGCCATGACCAAATATGGAAAAATGACCCAAAAAAAAAAAAAAAAATCCCCAAACCATGAACTTTTCAGAAAGTTACAAATAGCTGAAGAGATGCATGTAATAGAAAAGGCCAATGGCTTTGCCTAGCACAATTTCCCAGTTTTTCCTGGCCACCCTCTTATCCTCACCCACTCACCCGCCTCTCAAGTCTGAGAAGTACCCAGGCAGCTCTCAAGAGACTTTCCCTTCTAGGCATTCAAGAACCAAGAAGACAGGCGCACAACTAAGAGCTGGGGAAGATCTCAGCACAGGGTTAACATTCCCATTTCACAGGTGAGGAAACTGAAGCCCATCAAAGGACAGAAGTGACTTGATTTAGGCCCCACAGCAAGCTACAGCAGAACCAGATTGCCAGGGTAACTTTTCCCTAGCTGTCACCCCAGCCATGTTGTAGGGCAGACCAGGGCAGGGTCTCCGGTCCTTGGGAAAACCAGGACAAGGAGACATCTGTGGTTCTGCTTGGGCCCCGCATGTCACTGAGAGTAAGGTGGGCACTGTAGAGGAGAGAGCGTGGGGACAGAGACTTCTTTCCTGTCTTAGAAATGGGGATGGTAGGCTCTCATGAAGAATACACTGATTGTGCTAGCCACTGTCCCAGGTAGCTCCAGATCCCCGACCCCACTCCCTCCCAAGCTCCTGGGGACAATTGGCATAGAGGAAACAGTGAGGAGGGGTTGGTGATGCGGCACCCCTTTCCCTGGATCCCAGGCTCTGATTCACTAGAAATTATTCCAAATCAGAAATCTTTCCACAGCCCCCCTCTCACCAAGGTCCAGGCCAAAGCTCTGTCATTCCCCAGACCTATTTCCTCCTCTTTGCCTTCTCCTCTCCTCAGGGCTGAGTCTGGAGTTCTGACTTGGCACGAAGGGTCTGCCCTTGGTAGGATCCAAAATGGTAATCAGATTTTGAGGTTGAAACTCTGGCACCAGACTACTGGGGTTTAAATCCTGACACTGTCACTTTCCCACTGCTTGAACCTGAAAGCTGCCCAACTTCTCCATGATTCAGTTTCCTCATCTGTAAAGGAAAATAATTCTAGCTCTTCCATCCTCTGGTTCCCAGTACAGGGTAGGTAAGGTGTAGCTAGTATCATTGTTGTCCTCTGCTCAGTACTGGCCACATATGGGAGACAGAATAAACAAGTGGATCCTTAAGAACCCAGAGCCCACTTCCTAGAGGGATAGAACCTGCCCCTTCCCAGCTCCTCCACAAACCTGGAAAAAGCTGCTAAGCTCGTCTGGGCCTTGGTTTCTCCATTAGTAATTTGGGGATAATAGAGCCCTTTGCTGTTCTCTCAAGTTCTTTGAGAGGCTTGGATAAAAGGCATCTGCATCGGGGTGAGATGCTGCTATTACAGCTAATGACAGAACCAACACGCTCATAAGCTGCTGCCCAGCTCTGACTCAGGCTGTTTACGGTTCTGGGTCTTGCCTATGGGGGAGCCAAGTGGGTCTGTGGTTGGGGTGATAGGGTGGGGGGGCCCTGGCTGGTGCCCTCACCGGCCCTACTGTATTAGAGCATCTGCTGTGATCCAGCTTCCTGCAGGCTTCCTCTCCCTGGGTTGAACCCCTCCTGTCTGGTCTCCCTGAGAATCCCAGCAGTCCTCACCCCATCGCCCGTCCCCTCCCCTCCTGCCAGGACTCAGGCTCCTGCCCTGCTTGTGACACATCTCTCCAAAGGACAATCAAGCCTGTTTAGAAACATGTGGAAGCCGTGGTCTTAGGCTGTTGGAGCCAGAAGAATAAGACATTCCCCAAGGCCAGGTCCTCCCTCTCCCACCAGCCCAGGGACAGTGAGTGACCCAGAAGGGGATGCTCAGCATAGAGCTGGACTCCCTCTGTGACCTCCACATCTGGTCAGATTTTGCAGGTCCCTCCCTCCCCTGGGAAGCTTCTAATGGGAGGCTGACCAGGGAAGGGAGGTTTTTGTAAATAAGACCCCCTCCAGAAGGCCCTGCCAAGCACTCCTGTTACACATCACCAGTTCAGTTTCTAGAATGGCAGATGCCCCTTGGTACCTTCTGAGAACTGGAACTGAAAGGGGGGCTTGGGAAAGCCATAGAGAGCAGATACCAGGCCATCTCCAGCCCCCTAAAAGAAGAGCAGCAGCCCAGCACAGTCCAGGGAGCCTGTACAATAGCCTCTGTCCTAAAATGAGCACTGCTCTGAGGACATGAAAACTGAGCCCACAGGGACCCCAGGGTAACGGGGGGTCAAGGCAGCCCTGAACAAACGTCCCTTGGCTGCCCAAAGTGTGTGCTCCTCATCAAAACTCTTGCTTTCCTGACGAATCCAAAAAAGCAACATGTCACTGGACAGATGGATGGCCAAATGGCAGGAGGCACAGGCGGCAAGGGCCACCAGCATGCCTCTTCCAATTGAGCTATCTCTCTGGCCCCAAGAACTAGTCCTTGAACCCCCAGCATCCTTTCCCCTTCACCACGCTCCCTCAGGCTCCTGTTACTCCCAAGACTAGCCCCTGATAGTCCTCCCTTCCACTGCTAAGTCCCAGTGGCAGACCATGTGTGGCAGACACGGAGTTGGGGCTATGCCAAAGCCAGCATCGAAAGAGGAACATCATGCTGGAGGCAAGTTCTGGAGGATGGAGAAGGGAGGAAACTGAACTTCCAACGGGAGAAGGGCGGATTAGAAACCAGCAGGCTTGAAACAGTCAGGACAGAATGGGATCCACTGGGAGAAAACTAGAGAGAGGATTCTAGGCAGGGGTAATGGCACCAGCAAGAAATTGGGTGGGTGGGGGGGGGAATCACTTGGGATCTCCAGGAGAATCAGCTCCTAGAAGGCACACAGTTTGGGGGGGAATGGAGAGGGACCCTCGGATTATGCTTTGGGGATCCTGGGCAGTGAAGGCAGTGCATGGACTGGGGGGTAGGGTGGGGCTGTAGCCAGGGAAGTCAGCTCAGACTATCTCCACAGGAACTCCCTGGAATTAAAAGATAGGGATCTCTTCTTCGGAAATCAAAGCAGTGTTAAGGAAGTGGGCTCCTCTCCCTGCCCAAGCCTTGGAAGGCAGGGAGGAGCCATAAAGAAACACTCCTGTCACAGTTTAACAGAGAGGGAAACTGAGGTTCATTAGTGCTGAGTCATCTGCCCAAGGTCTTAGAGTAAGTCAGCATCCAAGCCAGTGGAATATTCTAGACGCCTGGGCGTGGATGGGTCCTCAAGAGGTCACCTACTCCACCACTCGCCCCGGCAGGCCGGATCCCAACAAATGGGGCTTCTGACCATGCTTAACCATGTCAGGAAGCCTTTTTAATTTTTTTTTTTAACATTAGTGCCAAGTATTTGTTGAATTCAAATCTAGCCTGAATCCTTCCTGCTGAGGCTTTCAATGTACACCTTCTCTGGTTCAGGCAAGATGGAGCTCTCTCTGGACTTGAAGGTTATATTTGGGCTTCACCTCAGTTTCTCTTGTTCAGAGTCAATCTCAATGTTTTTTTCTCTCTACGCCCAAGCCTCCCATAAGTGATGTGACATACACGCTACATGCTCAGTAACTATCAAATAATTGGATGGTGAGTAAATGAACAAATGAACCAATAATTTCCAGACAAGCACAAGGACCTCCATGAAATAGATCTCCTAACACCCCTAAATTCGCTTAACAACCTGACAATGTACATGTACAGCCACTCCCAGGGTAGTCTGGAGATATTCTTAGGGCATATTCTTACCTTAAAAACATAGCAGGGGGGATAAATTAGGAATGTGGGATTAACAGATACACACTACTATATATAACATAGGCAAACAACAAGACCCTACTCCTTAGCACAGGGAATTCTACCCAATATCTTGTATAACCTGTAAAACTTGTATAACTGTATATATATATATATGCATATATGTGTGTAAATATATAACTGAATCACTTTGCTCTACACCAGGAACTAACACAATATTGTAAATTAATTATACTTTGATTAAAAAAATTTTTAAAGTAAGTTAAATAAAAACATGGGTCCCTTCTCTCCTTATCTACCATAGTGCTTTTTCTGCCTTCAGAGCCTTTGCTGGGCTGGGGCAACACATATTCTCATTGCCTTCTAAGCCCCACAACACATGCGCACATACATACACAAGTGCTTGTGTGTATGAATAAAGCATAGACATCGCCCCTGTGGGCAAATCCATCCCCATTTTAACTAGGTTGGCATCTCTGCTGGGGGTCTTTTGATACAGAGGGTTACCTCTGCTGACAGCTAAGACCTATTCAGGCTTCCAAGGTGGTTCAGTGGTAAAGAACCCACCTGCCAATGCAAGAGATGTGGGTTTGATCCCTAGGCTGGGAAGATCCTCTGGAGGAGGAAATGACAGTCCAGTGCTCTTGCCTAGAAAACTCCACAGATAGAAGAGCCTGGCAGACTGTAGTCCATGGGGTCAACAAAGAGTTGGACACGACTGAGCACAGATGCTAGACCTGTATCCCTTATCTTCACCCTCAGGATGCTGATACATGGGAAAAACCAAGTCCTATGCCTATAAGTGCCATTTATGCTCATCATTGCCAGGCATTGTGCCCAGCACTGTGTATATATTTTCTCACTTGGTACCCAAACCACCATATAGATTACGGAAGAGGAAATGGAGACCCAGAGAGGTGAAATTTGAATAGTAAATAACAGAGGCAGGCTTGGACTCTGGTCTGCCTGATGCCAGAGCCCTCTCATACCTCATTTGCTGTCCTGCCCCCACCCAGGCCTGGTGGTGAAGGGGCACTTGGATGTCCCCCGTTGCGCCCTGCCCTATCCCCACCCCGGCACACAGAACCACATCTAAGTAAGAACACTGCATCGCAGCAGGGGCGGGGGGAGGTGGGGGGAGTTGTTCACGTCCAGTCATTTGTCTTTGTTCAAACTGGTTCCTTTTCTGGTTGTTTCCTTTTCTAATCTCAGATTGAAGACCTATTATTTCCAAGCCAGGAAAAAAGAACAAGGGGAAAAAAAGGGACCTCTGTTCCAGGAACTGTAACATCTCTGTCTGTGCTCTGCCCAGTTTCTCACTTCTCTGACTCTTGGACAAGCCCAGCCATGCCTGGCCCCCAAGTCTGGCAGGACCATTGGTCAAAAAGCCTTTTTAGGGTCTTCTCTTCCTCAGGAAACCTCCAGGACAGGACTAGGGTGAGAGAACAGGAAGGAGACCAAGGAAAGGGACTGGAAAGTAAGACGTTCTAGCTCCCAGCTGGGCCTTTTGACGTGTATCCTACTCTTGGAGCTCTACTCTATACCCCCTTTCTGGCCTAGAGAAGTAGCTCTGGAGAGGATGTGTGGTTAGTCACACACACACATGCACGCACGCACGTGGATGCCC